GAGGCCCAGAATCTTCTTTGGATATTGTTAATTCCTAAATGTGGGGGAAGGTTAAGGAAATGACAAATGAGTTGTCTGTACTATTACTGATAACTTCATTTTGAACGGAGTTGCTCTGATTGTAAACAACCTCCACTTCCAATCAAGAGTTTGTGAGTTCGAGTCTCCCCAAACGCAAGATGGGAAGTTCTTGGAGGGAAGGATGCCGGGAGTCTATTTGAAAACAGTCTCTCTACTCTAGGGTAGGGGTAAGGTCTGCGTACACACTATCTTTCTCAAACCCCACTAAATGAGATTATAGAGGGTTGTTGATGTTGTTATTCATTTTGAATGGAGGAAATTAAGTCAACAAGTTTAAAAACATGGATGTAGCCCTTATCTCTTCTAAATTTCTAAGTTATTCTTTTGAGTCCCAAAAACAAAAAGAAAATTCCAAATAATTTTTTCAGTCCAAAGTTTGCTGGTGACTCGTGACAAGAATGTTGTCGGATAATTTTTAAATATCTAAAATTTTAAAAATGAAATGGAATCTTAGAGTTGGTGCAACAGTAAGAGTTGGTGGCGTGTGATCAAAAGGTCACGGGCTCAATAGATTCAATATGGTCAGATCCTTCTACGAAACTACAAAAGTTAAACTTAATGAAGATTTATATGTAGCGATTCAATTTTCCCTCATCCCTTTTCATTTAATTGCTAAACGACTCCAAACAGCGCCCTAAAAAGATTTGAAAAAAAATCATCCACAATATATCAAATTGATTAATTTTACTTATCTTTATCTTCTTTAAATATAAACAATAATAATGCATCCAGTGTAATTCAATAAGTAGGGTATGAAAAGAATAATGTATATATAATCCTTTTGATACACCATCGGATTAAAAAAAGCAAAATCAAATTAATTTAAAAAGAAATACGATAGCGGAGAAGTCATGCATTTCAAATACAACATAAAAGAATTAAATAGAATATAAAAGAGTAGGACCTCTAGTTGTTTGATAGACAACTCAATTTTTTTGTTTTTGTATGAATGAATCCTCATATATGGAGACAGCTTAGTATATACCCTACATATAAAGAGACAGTTCTATTTGTAACATAATGTCCCTCTTATGTAGACCACTGACGTTGTTCCTTTTTTGACATGCAATTGTCCTATTTTGCTATAGTAAATTACAAAAGGAAGAAACAAATGAACAATTATGTGGCAATGACATTCATCAATTTTGAATAGTTACTCAAATTCTGAAGCTGCCAATCACATCAAATTGTTTTTTAATCATGTTGAGCCGATCGTCTATTGTAAACGGTTTCTTTACCTTCACAATATAAAGGTAAAATCTGTATATACAATATTCTTTTCAGACTTTATTTGTGCGATCACACTAAATATGTTATTGTTGGTTGATTGGATGAGAGTCACTTACTATACTCTGATATTATCTGGATTGGTGTTAAATAGACTCACTAACGGGAATCGCATGCCCTACAAAGAAGTTTTTTATGCAAATTGGTTAATTATAAATTAAAATAGTATTCGTGCTGGTGAAGAAGAATGTGAAATTATAGTGAAAATGATTGCTTTATTTCAAAAAAGATAAAATTCAAAGTTGCCTCGCATTAAACCCGCAACCTACCCCGCCCCGCTTTAAAAGTTTTAAAAATTGTTTTAACCCACCCCGCCCCGCACCGCACCCGCCCCATTGCCATCCCTATGACTTTACATGAAAAATGGCTAAATTTCGATTACTTTTGAAATTGTGGCTATTTTTGAATGACCAATTATAAATCTGGCTATTTTTGAATTTCTCCCGAAGGGATTTTCGAAGAAAAGCCCATCAAAAATATTTTCGATGAGCCAATTGGTAGCCATTCTAAAGGACTGCTATTTAGGAATTAGCCAGTGCGCCTTGAATTTTAGTTTTTTAGTTCAGATTTTCAGGACAAAAATATTCTGAATTGTCCTAAAGTTAAGATTTTTAGTTGAAAAATTTTGGACAAAATAAGTACTGGCTAATCTCTAAATAGCATCCCTTAGAATGACTATTTGTGCACTTGCCCCTTGAAAATTTGCGTCTTTTTAGGGTCAGGGAGACAAGGTAAAAATAGCATGGTATAACCAGTTTTCGGACTGGTCATTCAAAAATAGCCAGCGTTTACCAAGTCAATGAAAAATTGCCACTATTTTGCTGCAACATAGACCGGTCCAACATCATATACTGGAGTTCGATGCACCTGTGTATGAACTCCAGCATATTATGCTGGACCGATATACTTTGCTGGCTCCAGTATAATATACTGGAGACTGGAGCACCGGTGCTCCAAACTCCAGTATATTATGCTGGACCGGTATACTTGCTGGAACTCCATCATATTATGCTGGAGTTCCAGGTATAATATGCTGGAGTTCAAGCATACTTATGTTGGAACTCCAGTATAATATACTGACATATTTTTTGGTTTTTGAACAGTGTTTTCGCTCAGATTTATCTTTACATGAAAAGTGGCTAAATTTCGATTACTTTTGAAACTGAGCTATTTTTGAACGGCCAGTTGTAAATCTGACTATTTTTGAATTTCTCCTAAAATTTTAAGCAAAATACAAAATTGGCCGGCCGGTCGAAACTAATTGCATTCGTGAGTCAATAAGTATATGAAATATATGTATATAAGACACATGTATAAAAAACAAAAAAATTATTGACTATTATTTTTGGAAACGGCTAAAAGTTATATATTTCTCGAATTTAAATGACTAACACATGCCATAAGATAAATATCAAAAGAGGTATATTGCTAACTTTTAGTTATACATGCATATGAGATATAAGTAATCCTTCTAAGTTGGAAGGTCGTAGGTAAATGAAAAAAAATGATTTTCAGAAGAATAACCAAAATTAAGAACTTGACACAAATAACGAAGCGCGAATTACGATAGAAATAAGCTAGTCGGGAAAGGATTTTTTGGACGAAAAGCCCGTCAAAAATAATTTCTACGAGCCAATTTCCGACGAATTTGGTTAAATATTTGCGTTACGACAACTATCAACTATGTCCATTTATAAGTCGTTTATTACAAAATTAACCAATTCATAAAATATTATTAATATTAGCCAAATATTACTAATATTAATCAATTAGCTATTTGTAGCAAAAAAAAGTCAATTTATTTGCTCTTTTTTGAGTGAGTTTTATTAGAATAGATTGGGTACATCTTAAAGAGCTTGAATTTCAATTTTGGGATGGTTTGGTGTAGTTTTGAGGTTGTTTGAATTGAAAATTCAAAGTAGAAAATGAACGTGAAAAAAAATGATGTATGTATCACACTATGTATTATTTGTGTATCACACACACACACGCGCGCGCGCGCACACACACACACACACACACACACACTATATATATATATATATATATATATATATATATATATCATATTTTTATCAAATGTATATCACATGTATACGTATATGTGAGATACATGTGTTGCCGAAGAAATTTTTTGAGCTCAATTTTAACTAAGAATTTTGATACCAAATCAGTCCAAATCACCTCTAATCGTCCCCAAATTTTGTATATTGACTCATCTATATATTTTCAATGAATTTCAACCATACCCATTTAAAAAGATCCTTTTTTTGCTTAGATTTTTGGATATATNGCATCTAATGTTGCTAATCACGCTTAAAAATATGGAAGGAGATCTTAGTTTGTGATTCTTGAGGAGAAAGAACCTTATTTATTTGAGTTTTTAATTTTTATATGTTTTTGGCTAGGTTTGGTAAGTCTATGATTAATGGCTAGAAATTGATAAGTTAGAACTTATTTAGGACATTTCTGTACGGAAGACAAGTGGGTCAACAACCCAATTATAGCATCGGCATTTTGAGGCCCAATTACATTGAATATGATTGAGAATTTAAGGGGCAAAATACAAAATTGACATGTCGGTCGAAGCTAATTACGTTCATTAGCTAAAAAGTGTATAAAATATATGCATATAACGCACACACATTTAGGAACGGCTAAAAATATATATTTCTCGAATTTAAATAACTAACATGTCATAAGAGAAATCTCAAAAGAGGTATATTGCCCACTATTAGTTATACATGCATGCATATGACCTAAAATTGCTTGAATTTTTTGACTCCTAGGCTGATCTTGTCAACCTAGACATATGTTGCAATGTCCCTAGCTCATCTACATTTATAGATCTTATAATATCAAATTACACATATATGATTATATATGCTTGAGTGGATAAAAATTAAGTGAGAATATATATATGGTTAAGTGAGAAATACATGTATGAGATACACACGTTTTTCATTCATTTATTTATTTAAACACGGAATGGGAACAAGTTTTGCATCGGAATGTAGTTTTGACGTCAAAGCTTTTAGCGATCAGTGACGACCAGATTTATTCTGATTGTATTTGACCAATAAACAGCCTCTCTACCCTGGAAACAACCTCTCTACCCTTCGGGGTAGGGGTAAGGTCTGCGTACATATTACCCTCCCCAAACCCCACTTGTGAGATTATACTGGGTTATTGTTGTTGTTGTTGTTGTATTTGACCAATAAACAGCCTCTCTACCCTGGAAACAACCTCTCTACCCTTCGGGGTAGGGGTAAGGTCTGCGTACATATTACCCTCCCCAAACCCCACTTGTGAGATTATACTGGGTTATTGTTGTTGTTGTTGTTGTATTTGACCAATAATGACCGTATTAGAACATTTAGCGACCAAATTTTCCCTCGCTAAATGCCCTTTTCTTGTAGTGACACTTGAGAATAAGATACCTATTCAACTTCCATGTTTCTTTTTCTTTTTCTTTTTAAGAATTAACCCAAATAGCTTCCCACCTAATCTCTTAAACTAAAAATAGCCAGCTGATGTATAATATATGTATATATATATATATGTATGTATAATCATTGTATAATCTATGTATACCGGCTAGAAAAAGTAAACATTGAATCTGGCCGGCTATTTGTGTAACAATCCCTTCTTCTTCTTCTTCTTTTTTTTTTTTTTACTGTATTGTACTAATTTTCCAAGACAAATTTTACATAATTGAACAAGCATTTGGGTTTTCATCACTAAACATAGAAGTGAATATCTCAGAAGGTGTATTTGGAATTTGAAGAACTTGAGGATCAATCTTGACATAGCCAGAAGGTGCCTTCTTGTCATATACTCCAACAGCATAAGGATTTGATACTAAATTATATTTAACATATGGCCAGATTTCAGCTTTCTTTCCAGTTTTCTCTACTTTCTTTAACACCTTGCTTTTTTCTACATAACCACTCACTGTCACCCTGCTATCTTTTCTGTTTATTTCCACTGATTTCACACCTAAAAGATAGAAATATGGAAGAAAAAATAAGTCTCAATTAAAGTGGAATCATGTATTGTTAGGTGACAGAGTCAGAATTTTCGCTACGTGGTATCAAAATACAAAAAATCAAATATGCGAAAAAGTCAAGGGGATTCAATATATAGTATATGCATAAAAAAAAAATTACACCTAATAATACAGTGTAATTTTCTGGCGAAAGGATATCAGTTGACACTCACTAGTAGTTAATAGATCAAATGTTGCTTAAATTTTTCAAAAATTAATGTTGCCACATCCATGTCGGATCCTCCAAAAATGCTCTATTTTGAGAAGATCCGAACGTACTCATCAATATTTTTGAAGAGTTCGAACAACATAGTAAATTATTACGGAGAGTGAGTAGAATTAATATGATAAGGACATTGTAGCTATCATAAGAAGTAGCCTATAATAAATATGAAAAAGCAGGTTTGTGATTGTAAATAAAAGGGCTTATATATTGTTTATTTTTTTCTTATTAGATATGTCTATTTAATTTTGTTTGTTGAGAACACAAGGTGCATTTATGAAAGATGTGTGTGTAGGACCAAAATAACAGTAATAGAAAAAGTTGATGGGTGAAAAAATAAAAACTGGAAATATTTTAATCCTCATCTTCTAGATAATTTTGAGACTAACAATTACATTATAAAGAAGGATACATAAAAGGCTACAACAATAATAGCGATCCTGTGAAATCTCACTGGTGGGGCTGGAGAGTATAATGTGTATGCAAACCTTACCCCTATCCCGAGGGACAGAGAGGCTGTTTCGAAACACCCTCGGCTCAAGAAGATGAAAAGAGGCGATACATAAAAGGTTGAACTAATTAATTTAATCGGGAATCAAATAAATCTTCTACAGTAATAGTTTAACTTTCATACGCTAATATATGAAAGTATTTTACATTATCAGGTTACCTTAAAGATTATTACAAATAATTCTTTATAAAAAATTAAGACTAATAACTTATAGAGAACAAGGCAATTAACCTTTCATGGAGGAAACAGCATTTCTGACTTTCCTTTCACAGCCATCGCAGTCCATTTTTACCTTTATTTCAACTGTCTGAAAATTGTTGTGCAAAATGAGATAAATAAAGATTATCCAATAAAACATAAATATTACTGTCATCCGATCATAGATACAAAAACAGCAACTATTATTTTTACGCGTCAGTATCAAACAAGTTAAGCTCGACTATAAGTTAAGTTCGACTATAAGTTAAGTTCGATTATATATATAAATCTTACTGATCATGTTTCTCCATTTAAGTTTATATCAACATTATACCGATGTAAGAAAAATAATACTATAAAAAGATAAAAGATAGGAGTAGATAATATAAATCATAAAATGAGGACGTACCTGCATGGTTTTGTGTTTTTTGCTCTTTCTTTTACTTGAAACTTCACATATTTCTGATATATGATACATAAATCCCATTTTTTTGTTTCTTAATTACCTCTTATTAATTATTCCCTTTTCTATTTTCTCAGAAGAAGATATAAGAGTGTGTGTGGGTGGCTGAAGGAGGAGAGGATATATATATATATATGGCTAACTCTGTTCTATAATATGCCTATATTTATACCAATATTTTTGTGGAAGAAGACTTTGAGAAGAGGAGTTGTATACAAGTTGTATTTAAAAGCAGAGGCGGAGCCAAGACTTGACTTGTCTCTGTGCTAATCATACGATGGACGCAAAGCAGAGCTAGTTATTAGCTACGTACGTGTTGGGGCGAATTCAATATTTTTTGTTTATATACCCTGTTTTTGTATTAACAAGTTTATACATTATGGAGTATATAAATATTTAATTACGAACTCAATAACTAAGACGAGCTATGAGTTTCGATGACAAGTTCAAAACCTATAAACTTTAAATTCTGACTCCATCTTTGATGGACGCCCTAGTATTTCAACCTAGATAACGGGACAAGTTAGAGGGAATTTGCTTGGCCACAAATAAATAATTAATCAATAATTAAATGGAATTGCTGATTTTTTTTAAAACAACAACAACAACAACCCAGTATAATCTTAATACAATTTTTTAAGAAATTATAATCTTTTGAAACTTAATTTACTTGCCACCAGATCTTGCATTCTCTATTTATTGTTTCCATTAAATGTTGCATCTCCCCTTAGATTCTTGGACATGATTATTTTTGATAGTTTTTTAGTCCAAAAATGCAGCATTTACTAGTGCTAGCTTTCACTAGCCCATCTTCTTGCGTTATTTTTATTATAGGAATAAATGGCTATGCTTCAACTTTGATTAATACTAATTTATGTCCATAGGCCCCTTTCATTATTATAATTTTGATTGATTGTGACACTCATGTACATTATGAATATAGTTCCAATATGTTACCAATTCTTTCATTTTTAATCAGAGGTCTTGAATATGAGCCATGACATTTTTAATCAGAGGTCTTGAATATGAGCCATGAATATGGAGTCGTCTTTATTAGGGAGCACTTTAGTTACCCTTAATATAGGATTCCCGGCGCAAATTCAAATTTAGTCGGGACCTAACAGGATACTGGATGCCGAATGAGAAACCCAAACAAATTCCCAAATGTTATCATTAATTTACAAGGAGCTCTTTTTTATATGTACACACACATCATGTTACAATTAGGGACTTTTCTTAGTCCCATTAACACTAACAATGTAGCTACTCATACCATGTCTATGTTGTGTTAACTATACTATCTTTGCAGCTTATGTAAAGATACATAAATTAATGAAAATGTTTACAAAATTGATAGCATCTTACTCTTGTTATATATGTTGCGCATTGAGTCTCCAAAATTACTGTCGTACTTACTTTTGGAGGAACCGACATGCAGCCGGCGAAATTTTTAACTAGTTCGAGCAACATAGCTTGTTATCGACCGGTTTCAATGGTGACAGTCAGCTCATTATTGGAAACAATATCTGATTTAGCAGCAGAAGAAGAAGATGTGTTATTAGCACATTTTCTTGTCATAAAAGCTGGTTGATTTGGCCTTGGAAGAGAAATAATATTTTCACTACCAAGCATCATTATTATATTTGTTGTGTTGGGTCGATCTTTTGGATCTTCTTGTACACACAAAAGCCCAACATTAAGGCATTTAATTGCTTCTTCTTTGTTGCATGATTCTTGTAGTGATTGATCCACTAAGTCCATTGCCTTATCTTCTTTCCATAATCTCCATGCCTAAAATGGTAACATATGTTAACCAAAATGTATAATATGAGAAGAAGAAGTAAGTTTTTTAAGTATTTAATATCAAGAATTTATGATTGCAAGTTCCTCATGACTTTAATTGGGAGTCTAATTTATGTCGTACGGGCTCTCCAAAAATGTTATCGCACTCGGGACATATACTCTAAAAATATATAATATTTTTGGTATGTATCTGAAGACATTTTTAAGAGTCCGAGCAATATGTAACTTGTGATATCAAGGATGTACTTAAAGGAGGAAACCAGGTTGATGATGGTATGGCAAGAAAAAAGTTTTAAGGGAAAATGATAGAAAGGACAGTCCGGTGCACTAAGCTCCTGCTATGCGCAGAGTCCGGGGAAGAATCGGATTATAAGGGTCTATTGTACGCAGTCTTACCGTGCATTTCTACAAGAGTATATTTCCACTCGAACCCGTGACCTCTTGGTCTCATGGCAGTAACTTTACCAATTACGTCAAGGCTCTCCTACTTTAAGGGAAAATGATGAATATGATATTTTGTTTTTCGAAATCCGACCCTTTTGTTTCTTTGGAATATTGTGTATTAGACTTAAAAGTTACATTAGGTTGTTCTGCGTACGATAGATCCTTGTGGTCCGGGCCTTCTCCGTATCCCGCGCATAGCAGGAGCTTAGTGCACCGAGCTGCTCTTTTAGACTTAAAAGTTACAAGTTTGAGTATCCCTAGTTGTAATTGTTGTAATATGATGCAATAATATATAGAATTTAAGTAGTTCTTTACTCACATGGCCTAAGAGGTTTGATGCTTCTTCTTGGTGAAAAAATCCAGTATTTCTTCTACCACTGATGATCTCCAGTATAACTATTCCAAAACTAAATACATCTGACTTAATTGAAAATAATCCATCTATTGCATATTCTGGAGCCATATAGCCACTGCAAAAATAGTATTAAACAAATATATTAATGGATGAGAAAATCAATACTAGCCTACGTCGCTCAGACTCTTTAAAAATGACGCCGGATGTATGTCGGATCCTCCAAAAATAATACATATTTGAAGGATGACACGAATGTGATGATATTTTTGAAGAGTCCGAGTAACGTAGACACTAGATTTTTCCAATTTAAATTTCAAAATAATATATATGAGGAAAATAGGAAGGACTTACTAGGTTCCAACCACTTTATTTGTATTTGCTTGTGTAATTTTCCCTTCAACAACCCTTGCTAAGCCAAAATCTGATATTTTTGGGTTCAACTCTTCATCTAATAATATATTACTTGTTTTGAGATCTCTATGAATGATCCTTAACCTTGAGTCATAGTGTAGATAAAGAAGTCCTCTAGCAATTCCCTCTATAATTTCAAATCTCTTCCTCCAATCCAATTTCATGCATAGTTTTCGATCTTGCGGAGCTGTAACGCAAAGAAATAAGTAAAGAAATTTTACGCTATCAGATCAGTAGTTCGTAAAAAAGTACAAGATATTTACGTTAAACTCGTAAGCAAAAGATACTAACCAAATATGAAGGTGTCTAAACTTTTGTTTGCCATATACTCATAGAGTAAAATCTTTTCATTTGATTGGATACAATAACCCAAAAGTCTAACAAGATTTCTATGTTGAAGCCTTGCAATCAACATTACTTCATTCTTGAATTCATTTATGCCTTGTCCAGAATGACTTGATAGCCTTTTCACTGCAATTTCTCTTCCTCCTGAAAATATGCCCTAAACAAAAAATTCCAAGAGTCATATTACAATCAAGAAATAATCATCCACTTGATAATAACATGACACAATTCTTTGAAAAAATGTCACTGTTTAGCCGCCCTCAAATAATAGCCGAAAAATATATATTTTTTGTATATTTTTTTTTTGTGTATAT